TCACCAAGTGAATTTTTATTTGAGAGGAAATCATTGAAAATATAATTTTTTTTCGGCTGACGTATAATCCACCATGTTATAGTCAGCTGACTTTATTTTTTCTTCAAGATATTGGGTAAACTATAATTCGACAAATTTTGAAATGGAAAAAAAAGACTCGATAAACTTTTTTTTCAATGCGTGGGCTGCTACTGCTTGCCCCACCCACAGAGTCGCAGCTGACGGTAGCGAGTATTCATAATATAAATCCCTAATGCATTTCACGAATTTTCGATTGGGAGGGACTTGGTCATGAAAATACGTCACTGGCTCTTAGTCTATAAGAACTATGAACTGAGATTTGCCGGAAATGATGAATCATCAATTTTCGAATATAAACTACAGACTTGTCAGTGGCGAGTCTATTGGTAGTTAATATGAAAGGTGTGGAATTCGGAAGTGAATAAAATATCTTACCTTCACAAAAAATTTGCAGAGTAGAAATTCACCAGTTAATTTTCTGACAAGTGTTAATAGTTTATGGCAGATTTTTGGATAATCATTGCCATCTAAGACAAGAAAAATTCTGATCCGCCTTTGTTAGTGTCTCTTCAGCCTTATCAAAGATCATTCGTTACAAAAAGCTGTCGGAGGTTTTTTCTCAGATACACTTTCCATCAACGCTGGTGTTTTACAGGGATCCATATTGTCTACAACCATTTTTGTATTATCCATCAACGACTTATTGAAAAAGACGACGACACATGCAATATTTTTCTTCACTGACATCACTTGACACATCAAAATTATTTTGACATCTATCGAGGACGTTTGGAAATAGAGCACACCAAAGAAAAAACGACAATTATCATCAGTTTTTCCAATTCTGAAGATGGAGGCAGATTTGAGCCTCCGAAACGTTAAGTAGGTTAAATATTAAGTAGGTAACTGATTAAATTTCTGAGCGGTGTTCTATAAATGGCCTGCTGCCAAATTCTGCTAAATCTCAAATGCTCAGCTTTGTTACTAAAAATACAACAATTCATAAAAGCTATTTGGTTAGATTGAATAATGAAACTATACATCAAGTTAATTGTACTAAATTCTCAGGTGTTGATATTGATAATAAACTTACCTGGAAGTTCCATGTTGATAGTGTCAAACTGAAGCTCAGTAAATATATATACCTATTTACTTCGTCGGTTCAAACAAACAGTCTCTCTTGATGTTCTCANATTCCACAGAACTTGTCTAGCACTAGATCATTTATAATTCTGTGAATCATGCCCTAAAGAAAATAACGCCGGCCGCCACTGGTAGCCATAAATCAATTGTGACGTTTCCTACACCGCGCCCAGCCCGGCCAACGTTTCGCGGCTGTTCGATGTTCGCGACGTTTCGATGGAATTCTGTCGAATTCCGTCGACGTCGAGATAATCCGTTCACCGTCTATAAATGAAACCCACTCCAGGACTAACTGAGAAAACATCTTATCTCATCTATAATTCGGATTATCTTGACATTGGTGTAGGTGTTCCTCAAGGATCAGTAGTGGGCCCAATATAGTTACCAATATGTGAATGACAAACCCATCCATACATTTCACATTACATGCAGACGATACGCCCATACTTATCTCCGAAAAATATAATTATTTCTCTCAGTCAATACATTTTCATAAATGGCAAAATAATAATAAGTGAATAGTAATAATAAAAGTTTGGAAAATGTATCATGAGTATCTTGGCTGACACTGTGAGTCAGTTATTTCGAAAATCAACTCTCTCAGCTATCTATTCTGAAACATGAGATCAGTTTTGACCAAGAAACAAGTGGAATCTGGACTAAGATGCGGAATGTGTTTTTGTGGGTCATCCACTTGTTTTAATGATGTGTTCATATTGCAGAAAAAAAATTCTTTTTGCTGGTGTCTCCGTACCTTTTAAATTTATTAAGTAAATTCACACTATTAATACAAGACAGAGAAATGACTAACATGTGTCATATTCAAGGACTAATCTGTTACACAATTCAGCCACTGTGACTGGGCAAAGGTTATTTCGCCCGAAATTAAATCATATGTAACTTTGAAAGCATTCAAACAATGTCTTATGAAGTACTCTTTGAAAGGTGAATTTTACTCCTTAGATGATGAGGTAATAGACATTATCGCTTCGGTAGAAATTATCAAATACGTTAAGACAGCAGACAAAGTGTTCTAGTTGTCTGCTGTCTAAACGTATGTGCATGACTCTATTTATGTCAGTTTCCTTTTTCTTTCTATGGCTCCTCTATTCAGTACGATGCAAATGTATGGAATAAATTCGATATTCACAAAAGGAGCGTCTTTCGGAAGAAATCCAAAAACAGGTCAACTTTAATTTTTGACGGCCCATCTCATGATATTCATATGAAAGACTTTTCGTCACCGGTGTTGGCGTGATGACGTAATCGACAATTTTTTCAAATGCAAACGGGGGTCATGTGGCACCCCATTCAACGGTATAATGGTTTCAATATGTATTAATACAGGGTCAACCGAAATTATGTATTCAGAAGACTGGAATTACAAATAATAGTAATTCGTTGAACCAAATANTCTTCCGAAAGACGCTCATTTTGTAAATATCGAATTTATTCCATATATTTGCATCGTACTGTATAATCTTATATGGTAGCTCTAAAAGCTGTCGCTTGAATCTTCCATTTAGTGAAAAAAATTAAGTCCCAGCTACATATATGTTGATCCTTACCTTCTCCATGTAGGCCTTGACGTAGAAATTTCCAAAAAGCACTATGAACGACATCATGTAGATGATCAGAGTGTAATGCATCCATAGAGGGAACTCGCAACCTGTTCTAATTCCGTTTGCCCCCAAAACCAAGGCACAAGTGAACTGGATCTGAAACAGAACTTTGTTACGCAAAGGGCATTAGAAAACGTTTAGAAAAATTACCAGTTGAAGAATGGTAAGGTATTTCTTCCACCACAAATACTGAGTGACTCTGGGACCGAACACGGAGAGGCCGTAATAGGAGTACATCATAACGTGGATTGCGGAGTTGACCATGGCTGGTAAGAAAGCTGGAAGAAAAAATTCGATGTCGTTGATTCATAGTGTCTTGTGATACATGCAGGGAAATTGGGGAGATAATGGGTTCATGTATTTAGAAAAAGTGGACTGTAGTAGAGACAAATTTTATAAAGCTAATCTGTTTACTCAAGGTTTCGATGAAGATAAAATACCTGTAAATAACGTTATCTACAATAATTGTCGAATTTGGGACGATATCAAGCCACATGAGATCCAAGAACGCCCAATGCATCTCGAAAAAGTTACGGTTTGGTGTGGATTTTGTGCTGGCCGTAATAAACATGTTACAGAAAGCTGTGGCAAAAGATTAAAGTAGCCTTTATTCGGCACTTGTAGTGTTATTTACCAAAGACAATGGAATGGCTATACTTTGTGTCAACAGAAATAGGCAGGAACTGTGTTCTGGAATTTCAGACACTCAGGTTAAATTACTAGTTATTGCATCATATGAAATAATTTTTCTCTGGATCAACTTACTGGACCCACTTGGAACCCATTTGATACCGATCCACCAAAAGGCAAACATTGTGGAATGATGATAGACGTGGAGGAAGCTGAGCTGGTTTTCTTTTTTCCTCAATATGAAGAAGAATGTGTCGCAGAATTCTAAGAGCTTGGAGAAGTAGTACCACCAAACCGCGTTTGCAATCTGTAAAAGATTGATTTAAACAATTTTTTCGGTAAAATTCGTGATTTTGCATACCTGCAACTCGTCTGCGTTGTATTTTTGCCTGCAAGGTTCACAGATGTAGCTGTACCGCAAACGTGTCGATGCTGTTAGTAACTGAAAAATAGTAAATTGAAATTAGTAGAAACAGAACAAGCTCTAGGCTACTCATATCAATACTTCATTGTACAGCTTATCACAAAACAGTGAGCGAAACACGCAACATTCACAGGCACTTTCAAATAATCAACACATGAATTTGTCAGAAAAATTTTCGACTCACCTGTATCGCTATATATCCATTCAAAAGGGCCATAAATAAATTATAAGGTACTAGTATCCAGGTGAGGTCAAAAGGTTTCCTTTTCGCCATCACTTTTGGGCCTATCCATACTAAAAAAAGGTACGCTAGGACATAGGACACCATAGGAACGGGGGAGTCCACTAGGGGCCATCCTTGTGTTCTCCGATCTGAAGAGTTGAAAACGATTATAGTTGGGAAAATAATTGAAATTCATGTTTGACAAGAGTATTAGTTTTTTCAATAAAACGTTGTTGTAAGTCATACCCTAAAGAAAATAACTCCGGCCGCTACTGGTAGCCATAAACCAATTGTGACGTAGCTAAGAGCGCGCGAATATTTGATGTTCGCTGCCGTTCTAGATGTAGCGATGGAATTCCGGCGAATTTTCTACTGCATTCGATTACGATATATAAACGCTAGCCACGAGCGTATCGACACAGTGAAGTGGAAGTTACAGTGCGGTACGCGAAGTGATCTAATAAGGCGATAGACATTCGAAAAATAGTTGAAGTTTTAGTTGAAGTGTTTGTTGTATTCATAGTGAAATACAGTTAAGTTGGATTATTGTTCAGTAAAGTCAATTATTGGTCAACACACGGGAAAAAATCCTAATAATATAATTGAATTGTTATAAATTACTCCCTGAAAAAAATAATGCCGGCCGCCGCTGGCAACTTGACCAAGATCATGCTTATTTTCTTCAATTGCTTTAACTAAGTCATTCTGTAACATATTCGAAATTTTCCCATGCAATGTTACCTATTCTGGATGAAATATATATATAAACTCACCCGATAATGATAACGTCCACAAGTAATAGTCGTAGGCTTGAGAAACTAGACTTTGCGTCGAATTCACTACATTCGCCATTTTCTAAACTCTCTATCAAACCTGAAACAAAAAAGTTCATGACTTAGATTCAAGGTAAAATTTTTATCAGCAGTTGTTCTGTCAGAAACGTATCTCAATGGGATAGGAAATTGAAAAGTCAATAAAATCAATGTTCAATCTGCATACACGTTTTTGTTATCTAATTGAATCAACAGAGCTTCTAATGACCCAAACTTCTCAGACTTATTAAAAATATATTCACTTCAATTTATGATTAGTGAAGTTCCTCTCTGAACATTCAGAATGACTTCACATTTGTTTAATTACTGTGAAGAGGTTGGTGGCGGGAGAAAAGCACAGAAGAAGCCCCTTTACAGACCAGATTTAGTTCTACTGAACTTTAATATTTGATAAAAACTGAAATTGCTGATTCAAGAAGTTTCTACAGCAAAAGAATGATGACATATATATATTTTCAAACGCAATAGACAGTGGTTACTATGTTAAGACATCAATATATCTACCAGAAAAACTAATAGATATTTCAACACAATTGAAACCGTGTCTACAAGTAGATGGTCATTCTGACTTACCAACTAACATATTTTTCAAACATGAAAACTATTCAAATTCTGATTTTTGGGAGTGTATAAGACAGGTTTTCATAATGGAGAGAATGTATGTTGAACTATACGTGCTAAAATAAATTTATTGCTCGTTGAGAGTACCATATTTGTGATCTATGACATACACTTTATAAAAAAAGTGGGTGTAGAAACGCTTTTCTCTGTATTCGATTCGGAGTTGCCAAAAGTTCAAGAAATTCCAGAAATTCAATTTATATTATAATAAGTACATACACAAATATTCTAATGACTGACCAGTAACACAGTAACAAAATGAACGAACGTGAGTTTTCCAACTCAATTTGCAGTTCAACTGAATTCCCCAGGCTGATTTTTCATCTTATTTGAACAATCTTTTAATATGGGAAAAACTCGTTTACACCTGAATGAGGATCTGTAATTATAGGAAAAACAACGTCGGCAATATCACGGAATCCATTTTAAACAAATCTAATGAAATGTACAAATATAAGATGTTCGATGTAACCTTCAGATATTAAGTTTATTTAAACGTTTTGTCCATTTTAATGTCATGTGTTTTGTAGCTCCATATGTCGATATTTATTCTCCTGTGTTGTGGTATAAACTGATCGACAGATTTGTACTCTATACATTGATGTTGTTAATTTTTTTTCAAATTTCAATTTCTTGCCTCTTTTCAGCTCATTACTATATGATGTCGTTAACAGATTTTCGGCAAATTTTCATCAGTTGTTGATGTGCAGGAGCGTCCAGAACGAGCGACGCCACTTACTTACTTACTTCTCGACCTTCTTTGAAAAACTTGTACCACTTAAGAACATTTTTCTGACTTAGAGTACAGTCACAGTATGCCACTATCAATATTTCAAATGTTTTTGAGCACCTAATTCCATTTTTAACACAGAATATGATGCAATTTTTTTTTGAAAGCAGAAAATCGCGGTACGCATAAAACACTTCTAACTTTAAGGCCTTCCACCAACAAATGTTGAGAAGCTGAAACTATGAACATAACTAAGAATGTTAGGACCCAGTGGCACCTACGGCCTGATGACTTCGACAATTGCGAAACTGGCCATGCTCTATGCCTAAAAAGATGGAATGGAATCAAATGATGCAATCTTACCAGGATCACCTTGGGCGACCCTGAGAAGCTGGCGCCGAAGAAATATCTGGCGATGACCAGGAAAAATCTACGCTTAGCAGTAAGGTTTCTGACCGGCCACTGTCAACCAAGGAAACACTTCCATATTATGGGGCTAGTAGACACACTTCTATGCAGGATGCCTGAACAGGAAGATGATACCGTCAGGCATGTCCTATGCGAGTGTCCGGAGTTATCGTCAATAAGAAAGTGTGCGTTCGTCGAGTCTTGGCCTACACCTGCCGATATGAAGGATATGTCTCCTAGTGACCTGTTCACACCTTCCTGGAAAGGACAGGATGGACGATGACCTAGGACTCCTCGGGAGGATGCAAAATGGGTCACATATGGCCTAAAATCACATCTAGGTTAAAGTACACATGAAAATATTACATATAAGCACCGTCAAACAGTAATAGGCTTTCGATGCCACAGTCTTTCATGTAACTTTTTCCTAAAAGTTTTAAGAGAATCCATGTTCTTTATATCTTCAGGAAATTTAATATACATTTTGACACCGACGTAAATTATTGATCAGTGTGGATATAGGGACGATTAATGATAAATTCATTGCATTTCGTGCATACCATTGTTCTTTTCATATAAAGATTTATTCTTGTAAATATAGCTTCTAAAACGTAGATTGAGGTTAGTGTCAGTATTCCGTGTTTCAGAAAAGGGGTTTGCAGGAACTCAACCTATTTACTTAAATACACTCTCAAAGAGTTCATTGCTACACGAACCCCGGAACTGAATTGTTCAAGAATGAGAAAAAACATTGAGCTGTGAAATCACCAAAACCATCTTCAGGAAGAAAAACTGTGCCTGTTAATAAAAACTAAATTATAATTAGAAGAACAGTTGGAAGAAGAAACAAAACATTTGAAATGAAAGACGTCAAGATATTTTTCACGAATCAGAAGTATTTTAAATCCGCCAATACCAGCTGTGACAAATCATAACAAAATCATAAATTTTTTTTGACCACTCTGTTAACGTTTCGCATTTTTAATAAGCATTTCATAATTTCAACTATTAGATACGAGAGTGTAGTCTTAAAATAAAGCACCAAGTAATCTTGAACTACAACTCCCCAATCTACAGGAAACACACCCTGTAATTATTTCCCATAGAACTGTAGATCATCATCCGAAACAGCACTTGTTAAACAAGATTCTGCGTTACAACTTTCACTTTCACCAACGCGTTTCATGAAAGGTGATTATCCTTTTTTATGTAAATAATGAATTTCTCTTTTAGCACCGTTGACCTTCGCATCGCAAGTGGAAATGTTCAGTTCCGTTTCTCTGGTTGCTCAACTCGTAAATCGATTATAACTGAATGAAAAATAAGCATTCCACAGAACTTGTCTAGTGAAAACATCTAAGAACGAGACCTGTCACGAGACATCTAGACTAGAGAAAGGAAACAAATTAACGATTGGGAAACTTTGAGGTTTACAAAAGGGATTCCGATATAGAAAAAGAAAAATAAGACAGACCATTATGAAACTCAAGAAAATTGATAAAAATTGAGAGACAATTGAAAAGCACTGTTCTGGTCAAGATATCTGAAAATGGACAACTCTAAGATTGGGGACAATGTCGACGATCAGTTGAAAACTACTTTGAAGTGTACATTTCTTCGGTTCATTATTGGATTTATCTTCAACCATACCTCAAAACACCAATAAACTGAGTGTCAAAAAACTTGGATTCCTTCACAAAAGTAAACACTCTGTAGATGGAGACGAAACATCAATGAAAATCTCACAAAGTACTTGAATAAAAAAATGTTTCTCAAACCATAAGTTTCTACGAATAAAACATTTGAAGTGATTCTCTCTTATACGGGGTCTGTTGAAAAAATAAGGTGAATTTTCTCAAAAAAAGTTCATTTATTCATCAATTTCTATTTTGTCCCCTTTGAAGTAGTCATATTCAGATAGAATACACTTGTACCGGTGTTTCTGTATCTGTAGAGTAGAGAGGTTGAGCCGTCCTTTCCTAGGTCTCTTCAACCATTGGGAACAGTCGCAGGGGATCAAATCTGGTGTAACCTGAGGCATGATTACGGTGTTGGTTTTGATCAAAAACTCACGAACAAGCAATGACAAGTGAGCAGGTGCATTATCGTGGAGTTTTTCCACAATATAGGACGTTTTCAGCTATAATATCCCAAGGACATTGATAACTAACGAAATAATTTTATCACAGTTTTCGAAAGCACGTTATTTGATACCATTGTAAATCCAAGATGGCCGCAAAATTTGGACATTCACCTTATTTTTTGAACAGACCTTGTACAGTTTTGGAGGTAAATTTAATGCTACCATCAACTTTTCACTGGAAAGTTTAGTAATTATGCAACAAATATGACCACTTTTTATAATCTATTTGCGGTGGTGAATCCCGGTGGAACCACCAATAATGGACATTACAGAGCATAAGTAGACATCCGTACTACAGCAGAATATGTCACGAATACAACGATTCAAAAGTGTCACCAGTTTCACCAAAATCACTAGTGAGTGGAGTAGTATACGTTTTCTTTCATGAAGAAAAGCACACTAAATCGCCTCTTTGAGTTATGAGAAAGTGGCGCTAATAATGTAGAGACTATCAACTATTATAATGTTTTAAGTCTGTGTTTTAATTTTTTCTGTTATCTTGTTATCCGTTCATACGACATGAAACGTAGAAGAGTTGAACATTTGTTTGAAAGTGGTTAACAATATTCCATAATGAATTTCATTAGTTTGGACTTCCATTGTCTAATATTATTCGAAATCTAAAATTATAATGAATAACTAAAACATCAAGTATATTACGTGATAGAACGTGAAAACAATAAAACGATTAAAATAATCAAGATACAAAATGAAAATTACTACAGGGTTAAAAAAAATAGAAAAATAATAAAAATAAAAAAGATTTCAAACCAAGTTTCTTCACGACGTTTCGATTGTCTTTGGGTGATTACTGTCATCATAGTACCTATATCGTCAAAGTAGCCACAATTTTGACTGAGTGTTTTTTTGGATACTTCCTACCATCGGAGTTTTTTATTTTTCAACCTAATTCAGATTATTGTCAATTATATGATTCTATTTCATTACAGTAGTGCAAAACATACATACATTGATATTCGTCATTGATATTCGTGATGATTGGACAGTGCTTCAAAATAGCTCTTTCTTGTTTCTGTTTGTTCCAATCATTTCAGTTATGAAAATAATTAATTCTAATGTTTTTTGAAAGGACCAACGTTGTGATACTTTAACAAGGAACTTAAAAATTGAAGAGATACTGGAAAAACTAAAGACAATTTTAGTGATATCTGATTACCTCCACAAAAAAATCGCTTGCATCATCAGCATATAACATGAGGTGACGTCTGAAGTTAGTCATGCTTCATAAACTGTTATTTTCAATATTGGAATAGAGTTAACCAAAGTATAAATGAGACTATGATTTCTACCTATTTCAGTGCGTTGACCTTCGTACAGATAATTACGAAAAACATAATAGATCGTAGTCCAACATAAGGTTTCTTTGGACCAGAAAGATTTTGGCTGACTGCTTCTTCATCTTTAAACAAAAAAAGTGGGAATCTTCTAAAGAAAATAAGAAAGCAATTCCATAAGGAAAAGTTTGGAGTACAAATAGGTATCAGTGTTTTTTGTATAACTCAATGTTCATATGATAAAATAATCCAGAACTGCTCAGGTGTGTCACCAAAGTTGAAAACTGGAACGAAAAAAAATCTTTCTACTAAATTAGTATTGTTTCCCTTTTCAAAAGGAAATTATGAGATGAAAGTTTTTTACAAGTACATATGTATACTTTTCGACGCCATATTATACTTCAGTTATGCATTACAATACGTGTCCCTTAATGATGATGACATCTAATGAACGAAACGTCGTATAACTGATCCGTTTATATCAGATTATAATAAATATGAAACAGTATTGAAAGTTCCTATGCCTTTGTTTATATCATTCGAAATTGCGGCGGAAGAGCCAAAAAACAAATTTCGGCAGTTCCAGCTTTTGACGACTATTTCAAACACAACCATTGATATTCTCGATCTGAAAAGAGATCATTCTAGTGCTTCAAACTAGGTAAATTTCATCCAGGTGTCCGAGATAGCAATACTGGGTTTAGAATGAAAAACAGTCTGTATTAGATGTAATATTACTGGAGTTTTTTTCCCCAACACCACACCTCGACACATGTTTCGATCACCAACTGATCATCTTCAAGATTAATCGAACTGACCGATACTTGATGCAAATCCATGTTAAAACTAATTAATACAGTGTGTTGTTTGATTTTCACTATAAACGGTTTTACAAAAACCGCGACACGTGTTTCGCTATACAATAGCTTTCTGAAGCGTTATTAACGCCTGTTGCGCCTTTGTTTCAGTGAAAATCTCATAATAAAGTATTTTTTTATAGTTAATTTTTTCACAATTATGAAAAGAGGCAGAACTTGGTCTCAGACAATTCACAAAGAGCACATTTTTCTTTGTGTGCTCTTTCTACACCTTTCTACAAGTTCTGCATTACAATTTTTATTTTTGTCAGATTGTGGAAGAGAAAAATTCCCTAGAGTATCCATAGAAAAATTCTGATTTTCTTCACAGAAAAGACTTGTTAACAATAATATCTTTTGATAAGTTTGACAGTTGAGCTACTGAATTCGTCAATAACTAAATTAATTTTCATCGATAATTCATTCTCATTTTTTCCAGAAACAGTGATTGTAGTATCGTCAGCGTACATAGATATGTACAATCTGATATGAATTCGGGCAAGTCATTGATAAAAGTCAAGAATAACAATGGGCCCAGAACAGACTCTTGTGGAACACCTAGTTTCACATCATAAGGAACTGATGTAATTCCGTTACATTTAACCACCAAACTACGGTTTTCCATGTACGATTCTATCCAACACAACACATTATTGGGAAAGCCCATTACTAGTAATTTTTTCAATAGAAATTTGGAAGAAACAGTATCGAATGCTTTTGATAGATCTAAAAAAAGTGGAAAAAACCAGGTTATTATTATCCACTTGTGCATAAATATAGTTCAATAGTTGATAAGATGCAGATTCAATTGATTTACTCTTCCTAAAACCATGTTGATTATTGCAGAATAGGTCATTTTGTTCAAAATACATCAAAATTCTATTAGCTATTATTTTCTCAAAAATTCTTCTTGGTCCTGCACGAGGGAGCACACTGTATGAATGTTGAAATATTTCGAATAGTCGGTCTTATAAATGATTTTGTTGCTGAAATTTCTAACACAAACTTACTATTTTTCTGAATACTCTCTAAAAAGCTGCTCAACTCAGTCCCTCGTTATGAATTGAAAGGGTTCATATCCATCCACCTTCAGACAAGAAGAAACCGAAGAACCAATTCTACGATTTCCTCCCTTTCCATACCGAACCGCAAAAAATGAAACCACTTCACAGAAACACTGAACGGTGCTAACTATTTTTCAAAATTTCGTGGTACCTTCGGCAATCGATGAATCGATCTGTGTTACCTTCTTGGTTTTTGACAAGAGAATGCATCGGAAACCTAATTCGCAGCATATTTGTAAAACGGCATGAGAGCATCGGAGAAAATGTTATCGAAAAGTAGGTTGCAACACCTTTGGAGGGGTACTCGGTACCATTGAATGGTACCGACTTCACGACTGTACCAGGGACGGGTTTTTGAATATTCACAGTCAAAGTCAAGGATCGTTACTAGATTTCTTCGAAGGAGAATCCGTAGTATCCAAACTCGTGTGATATTTTTGGGGGCCTCAAAATTATAAGAAGTAGAGTAGAGTAGAGTACAGTAAAGTAGAGTAGAGTAGATTATAATAGAGTAGAATAGAGTAGGTTAGGTTAGGTTAGGTTGGATTAGGTTGGGTTATGTTAGGTTGGAATAGAGTAGAGTAGAGTACAGTAGAGTAGAGTAGAGTAGATTAGATTAGAATACAGTAGGTTGGGTTAGGTTAGGTTAGAGTAGAGTAGAGTACAGTAGAGTGGAGTAGAGTAGAGTAGAGTAGAGTAAAATAGAGAAGGTTAGGTTAGTTTAGGTTAGGTTATGTTGGGTTAGGTTAGGTTAAAGTAGAGTACAGTAGAGTAGAATAGAATAGAGTGGAATAGAGTAGAATAGAGTAGGTTAGGTTACGTTGAGTTAGGTTAGATTAGAGTAGAGTAGAGTAGAGTCGAGTATAGTAGAGTATAGTAGAGTAGGGTAGAATAGAGTAGAATACAGTAGGTTGGGTTAGGTTAGGTTAGGTTAAGTTAGGTTAGGTTAGGTTAGAGTAGAGTTCAGTAAAGTGGAGTAGAGAAGAATAGAGTGGAATAGAGTAGAATAGAGTAGGTTAGGTTACGTTGAGTTAGGTTAGGTTAGGTTAGAGTAGAATAGAGTAGAGTAGAGTAGAGTAGAGTAGGGTAGAATAGAGTAGAATACAGTAGGTTGGGTTAGGTTAGGTTAGAGTAGAGTAGAGTTCAGTAGAGTGGAGTAGAGTAGAATAGAGTGGAATAGAGTAGAATAGAGTAGGTTAGGTTAGGTTGGGTTAGGTTGGGTTATGTTAGGTAATAATTAAAAAACATTGATAATCCCATCCAATCATTAAAATAAAGTTCTCATATTAATTCATTTCTATTGTACTGACACTTATTTAATGGCATAAATGCGAGCGAAGCCGCAGGTAAAAGCTAGTATGATATGAAATGATTTGAAATGCCTGAATGAATTAATGAAATTGATGCAAAAAAACAAAATAAAACCCCGAAATGAAATTACAATAGAATGAAATACCGGCAACAATTAAAAATAGAACAATTTAAAATAAATAGCAATTGAAAAATTTCAAGCCAAGTTACTTCACGACGTTTCGACCGCTAGTATCCACAATCATCTTCGTGTGATGACCTTTTCATTACTGTTTCTTCGTACTTTCGGAGGCTGAATTTTTTTATGTACATTTGTTTTATGTTGTGGATGTGCAATAAGAAATGATTTTTGAATATTCCAACTGGGGCGCTTTCCCTGGAAATAAAAGGGGCGCGTTTACATGTGAAAATTACCTTTTCATCAATGTTTCTCCCTACCGCTATATTTTCGGAAGCTGAGATTTTGTATATGGGTACGTATTGGAATGCCAATGCTAAAGGTAATTTTAATAAAATATTTACGATTGTAGAATATAAAAGTATCAACTTAATTTGCTATAGTTTTAGGTAGCAACAATTATTGGGTTAACTGGTGCTAACATATCGAGGGAACTTTTGTTGTAATTAGTCAAGAAAACCAGCTGTTCACATAACAGATTTTGTGGATTACAAATAAAGGAAAATATTCAATTCAGTTTTGGGAATCCACAGTTTTGGGAATCTCGAATTAAGAATCGCAGATTTTTAAATTGAGCCATATTATTCGTCGAACTTCAGCAACGTAATTTGCTGATAATGGTGTTAACGTCACAAATTTGAAAAGACACGGTGGTTGGAAGTCTACCAATGTCGCTGAAGGATATATAGATGTTTCACTTACGAACAAAATCATAATTGCCACGACCATTCAGTATGAGCTGAAAACAATCATTGTGAAACGGAAACTTCTTGTTCTGATTTCAACAAAAGGCAGTTGAACATACCGAGCATTTCAAACAAATTGAATTCCTTCAATATCGGCAATTGTTCGAATTCTCATATAAATATGAATTAGAATGTTTGTGTTAATACTAATTTCCTCTTAGAATATCAATATTCAATACAAATAAGAATGAAAATGTTCGAAAATTTTGTTCTACAAAGTTGATTTGTTATTCCACATGGTTGCCGACTAAATGGTGTTCAGAGCATGTTCGAAAACAATTTTTTTACTCGCATACTCGCCTGCGGCTCGTTCTAGATATTTGTCTAACTTGTTACGTGAATTACTATTTTTATGTAAATTTCATCAACATTTTCTCTGAAACCGGAAGTACTTTAGATTTTTGTACAGTTTTAACAGCGATGTTTTCGAAAAAAATAAAACAGTAAAACTGCACGTTTCAATATAGAAAGAATTTCACTCACCTAATGAAATTTGACTACTCCCATAAACTTGCAAGAACTACTCCAGTTGACCGGCAATTACCCATAATAAAATTGTAATCATGCTGACGTTCAAAAAAAGGCTTGAAAGGTACGAAACATATTAGACGGAGCTATTACTCAAATGCAAAATAATCACTTTTTCGTGACATTCTTTATTACAGGGTGTTGTTTCATTAACCCGAATATCGCGGAGAGAATAAAAATTAAGTATATGGTCAATCAATTATCACCCAACTGTGCTGAAAAATTTTAATTACTCATGTCAAAGTTGTCTCCAAACGGCAATGACTTTTAATTTACTTTAAGGATCATAAGATAACAGGGCACCTTATGGAAAATTTTGTTTCAATGAATACAGTGTGTCCAAGATGAGGATTGTCTATCAAAAATAAGACAAAATAAATTCTTCTCGTTTTCCTCGGCAAGACAGCAATTGCAGCGGGTTTTTTTCGGATCAATCATTCTCAACTTTTTTTATATGCAATGTTGCTTTTTTATAATTTCGGATAGAGATAACTTTGTTATTTCGAATGGAATTCAATTATCTTTCATTTCATTTTGGGGTTCCTATACCTAACCTAAATAGTTTTTCAGATATTGGCTTTTTCAAATAGTAGTTCTTCTGTCAATGCATACTTTGAATCAAGATAGCTTTGAATCGACATTTATTCGATTTGCTCACGGAGTTCTCACTGACAGTTATTATACCTGACTTCATCGAAAATATTTATAAATCATCTAAAGGAACAATTTGTTCAAGCTAGTTTCAACCCCCCTTCACTGTAGTTCATTGGACTGACACCTATCAGAAAACAACTACTCCCCTGGCTAATACTACGAAAAGCTTTGGATTATATCCGACAGATGACAGTGCAGGATTCTTCGCTAAAGTTATTCCTGCATATGCTGTTGACAACTGTCGCAATACATTTTCAATTATTGGAACACACTTGCAGACCGGTTTCAGGGTTTCGGACAGACCGGTTCGGTTCCGAACCTAATGTTGTTAAACTTGCTAATGCAAAGCAATATCAACCTTCACACTAGTTATGTCCGAGATTTATATATTACTAGTTACCTAAACGTGCAATTTCTTACCTAATAAAGATATTTTTGTTTGAATTTGTGTGGTTGAATTATTTTAAATTAGCTAGGGGTAAACTCAATTGCCATAGTTGTTCACAGGGGTAGTGGCATTGAAAAGGAAACACTGACCTACAGTGTCGGAAGTTGAGACTGGCCTGAATGAATTGTTCCTTTGGATGGTTTGATTTATAGCCAGTCTTATAGACCTAAAGACCCAAACTTTAGATAATAATGGTATCAGAGGGAACAGCCAAACGCTTTTTGAAAGCTATCTTCGAAATAGAATGCAAGTTGTAGGAATTGCAGATACAATTAGCAATCAAAAACAAATAGAATGTGAGTCCCACAAGGTACAGTACTGGATCCTCTGCTTTTCAATTTATATCCACATGAATTATTCAGTTTGGACAGCGTTGGGAAAATAATTGGAGACGCAGACGATACTGCGATATTCTATGAGGCAGACACTTGGCTTGATTTGAAAAAGAACGTAGAAATAGATTTCCACTTGCTCAAAAAATGTTTTGACCAAAGGCTCCTGACAGTGAACCTGAAAAAACTAATTTTCTTCCTTTTAGCTGCAATGTATCCATTGATTTTAACATACTTCCCTGGTGGAAAGCCATTTGAGATATAGTATAACAGAATGGGGATCAGCTCTGCGTGTACCCTTCAATCCCTTATTAGAGGTATTACAAAGGAGATTCATGAAGTTCATCATGTCTAGAAATTCAAATTTCTGGATGAAGAGTGTGAAGTTATGGATATGAGACAATTATATTACTATTGTACAAACGTGAAGTATCATTTCAGCAAAAATAAAGCATCATCATGAAACCACAACTATAACACACGACATCGCGACCAGCTTACATATCCTACTGTTGAAAAGTCAATTTAACAAAGAGCAAATTTTTTCATGGCAACTAAATTATGTAACACTGTACCTCACAAAATAAAAAATTCTTATTCCAAACCAATATTCAAAAAACAAATAAGGAAACACATTCTCAAAAAAGATAGACAATTAAAAAAAAATCTGTTAAAGTGAAGTAAGTTAGCTGAAATATAATTTGTTTAACTATAACACCAAATTCACAAAATTTAATACATTTTTTTGTAGTTTCTGCTCCATGAACGCCATACTTACTTTCATACAAATATTTATATATTTACATATTCTTCATTTTCTTCTTGTTTCATTCTTGTTTCACAAGAACTCTATTCTTATCGCCAAACCACTTTGTTCACATATTTTGTTTTAATTGTACTTTAATCTGTATACATTGTGAATAAAGTTATCATTATCATTTTTATTATCATGCCCACTGACTATATGTGAAAATATTTACTGTTCACTAAAATTAAGTTATCATTTACATT